TCAGCTCAAAGCTACAGAAATAAGAAGAAATTAATTTAGGGCTTTTCTCGTAAATTCTACAACTTTGCAAAGAAAGACCGTGTAGGACTCGGAGAGGTCTCATTTTAATCATAAATCTGCGGGCTACAATCCTGCCTCATCAACAAAGATTTTAGTTAATTTTTAGGAGTTTTGAAAAACTGGTTTTCCAGAAATCGGGTCTCTGAAGACCTTTCGGCCAGAATGATTGTTATATTCGTAATCAGCACTCTTGATTACCTCTGATCCACTAGGTTTTAGCCCGAAAGCGATTTGCAATCTGACGAGGTTCCCTCGTAAGAGCAACAGCGGCTGCTAGATATGCCATTAGTAATTGAATATATATTTAATTAAAATGAGTACAAAGATAGTTTACATATACAGAAATCGGCGTTTCGAAATTTAAAATTTTGAAAAGTGTTTGTCTTAGTTTTTTACTGTGAATACACAACAATAACAGAACCTTCATACCATCGAGAGCGTAAAACGGAATTCTTAAGAGGATCTCCGTATTCAGAAAGCTATTTTCCAAAGATTGCATTGAAGAATGACAGACTCAACTGATTCATTTCTATATTCATGTAAACTGGGATTTATTTTATATAAGCTTACCTATCTGACGGTGTTTAGATAAGAAACAATAACGATATGAAACACAACTGAAGTTTAGGCTACTAAAACCAGGTTTTGGGAAAAATTACATAGGTTGTATTGGGTTAACCTAGGTTAGGTTACGAAAAAACTTAATAGGTTAGGTTAGAAAGTTTTACAGGTTAGGGTATAGGTTATCAAAAAGTCGTAACCTGCAGGACTCTACGGTAGAGAAGTCCTAAGGTTTCAAGAAAAACGCCTTGTAGCTTCCGAACCATGGATTTTCGAGATGTCGCTTGGATCTGATTTTGTATAGAACATCTTGAACTATCCATATATGAAAAAAAAATGATAGATTTCTATGTAAAACTTTGGAGTTATAAGCTGCCGAACCATGGATTTGCCTAGAAACATGCTTCCAAGTTTCCTCTTTCGAATGGCGAAAACCGTAGCTCTCTAGCTCTTTTCTATCAAACCGTATTAAAAAACGAACCAAGTGCGCGGTGTTGCGGCACCGATAATAGAAAAATGTTTTCCAGTTCTGGAAAACAAAGTAGTGGTAGTTTGCTAACCTATATTTTGTGATACTCGTAGGTGTACACTATCGATATATGATAAAAAAAACCTAGATCTTTACCTTTTGTTTGGGTCAAATTTTTTCGCAAAAATGGTACTATTTTTATCAGAATCACTCCTATATATATATTGCGGACAAAATTAGGATTCGATCAAATTTCGAATTTGTCCGGACAAAATTGCAATTCTAATTTAGCCCGAACAAAATTAGAATTTTCTTGTATTAAAGGAGATCAAGGTTGATAAAGCGAAAATATTGGTGTTCTTCGTTAAAATCATGCTCTTAGTTTTCTCCTATTCAGTAACGAGCCATATCCACGTTGTTTATAAAGTAAGGCATAGTTCGTTTTACGTTTGAGTTTCTCACTTGCAGTAAAGGTTTTTTTTTATAGTTCTAATGCGGCTAGAAATAAATTGATCCATTCATGTACTATACATGTTTAATAACAACAAGAATAAGTAACGAAAGATGACGAATACACTAGCCTTCACTGTACATCGTACTTTGATCTCAATTCTTTTATTGTTTATCTTTTCTTCATTCTACCTGACAATTAAATGCGTATTTCTACAAAAAAAAACTGAGTAACTGGAGAATATTCTAGTTAGCCGGTTATATCAACCAATTGAAACATACTGAACAATTAAATCTAGATAACTTATAAAACAAGTGAGAAACTCTAACGTCAAACCTGCATAGTAGTGCATCAAACCTGCATATGATTCGTTACTGAGTAGGAGAACTAAGAGCGTGATTTTAACGAAGAACTCCAACATTTTCGCTTTATCAACTGTAATCTCTCTTTTATACAAGAAAATTTTAATTTTATCCGAAGTCTCATTTTTTTGGAAGTTGATCAAAATTAGAATTTTACTTTCGTCTGGACACAATTGGAACTCTAATTCTGTCCGAAGAAACTCTGGTCAGAAGTAGAATTCTGATTTTGTCTGGGCAAAATTAGAATTGCAATTCTGTCCGGACAAATTTGAAATTTGACCGTGTTCTAATTTTGTCCTCACAGTACTGTCTCACATCTCGCGATTTGAGATATCTAAAAATCACACGATACTTTAGCCCATTACGCGCGATTTTAGTAAAATATACGAGACATTAGCGAAATACACGAAATAAAAGTGAAACATACGGCATCTTAGTGATATACACGATAAATTTAGGTATTAGGAATTCGCGACCCATTAGTGAAATGCTTCAGTATGAATCACATTAATTTAGCGTTAATAAATGTTTACTCTCTTCCTGAGCGGATGGGGGGTGGAAGTGGTAGGGGATGTGACATGAGAGTGTGTCACTAACAGATATCTTACTACTATCTCGTGTATTTCATTAATGTCTCGTGTATTTTTTACTAAAATCTCGTGAATTCCCAATATCTACATGTATATGCTAATATCTCATGTAGTCGCTAAAATGTCACGTATTTTACTAATATCTCGTGTGTTTTGTTGATATCTATTTTTGCGAGATATCAGGCATTCCTCTGTCCGCAACATATATTGTAGATAAAGTTAAGAAAATTGTCAACATCGTAGATAGGCAATTTTGAGAACGAAAATTATGAAACCAAATATTTCTAAAGTACCTAACGCGCCTCAAGTTAACTACAGTAGAATAGGGTAGGTAAATCGGTCAGTCGATAGGTAGATAGTACAGTAACTATTTTCTGTACGAATCTGAATCATAAGGATTTACAGTACATGCAAAACGCGTAACTCTGCTACCGGAATCTCTGTGCATTACCGTTTTTCTCTTTTCGTCTATTCTTTAATATTCGGAAAGAATATCGTAGAATCTCGGAAAGGGTCTTCTTTTGTAGAATGAAGTGCGTTCTTCAAAATCCAACCCTAGTTCAATTCAAAATAATTGACGCTTTTTATGCTATACTTAAAATACGAAGAGCCCTAAAATCATTGTCGTTTGTTTTTAGGGCTTTTAGTATTTCGATCGTAACCGAAAAGTCGTCAATTATTTCGAATTGAGTTAGTAGTGGATTTTGAAGAACGCACTTCATTCTACGAAACAAGATCCTTTCCAGGATTCTACGATATTCTTTCCGAATATTATAGAATAGACGAAAAGAGAAAAAACGATAACTCACAGAGATTCCGGTAGCAGAGTTACGCGTTTTGCATGAGTAAATTCCCAGTGCATTATAATGTTTCGTCGTGTGACATTTAGCTGGATCCGTCAGCTGAATAATCGTCCGATTAATGATGAATCCAGATTTTCTCCGTAGAGTATTTTTGCTTGGAAACTGACGCTTTTATGTTGTAAATATGCTTTCGGCCTGTTTTTTCAGGAAACAGTTTGTTATTTTCGAATAGAAACGATTTCGTGAATAAATGGATGATATTTTGTGTGGAAGTTTCGCCGAAGGTGTACACAACGCGAGAGATATTGATATTATGTTGTGCGAAGGTGAAGTAGATTCTGAAAATGAATTAATATTAACTGAGTCACCAACATTTGTCCGAATTAAATGGAATAATGTAAAATTAAGTCATCATTCTTATGGTTATGATCTAGAAGGTGTAAAATGCATCAATGGTTTAAAAATGAAACAAAAATATAATTCTGAAATGGTTCCACTTTTATCGACATCACTTCGGTGTTTAGGTATCCCGCATGAAACAGAAAGTCAGTGGTCAAATATTTTACGAAATGCATTGATTAAACAATCAACTGATATAGGAACACATTTTAGTGAAATGTTGCAAAGAACTTCATCATCATCATTTCAGAATAGAAATTTCAGAATATTATATGATATAATTGATAAACCATTAGAACAATTAATGAAAAAGAACCAAATAAATACTGAAACAGCAACACATATTAATTCATATCAATTACCATTGATGTTCATGGGTCTTATCTATGGTATTTCAATTCCAAATGACTGTAGATTAAAAGTCAGTGCAATAATTGATTTCTATTACAAATATAAACATTTGAGTAATTTAAAAATTAGTCAAAATTTATTTAAACAATTAATAAATGAAATAATTGGTTACAAAAGTAGTTTAGTATTATCGATAAAGTTAAATTTTTGGCCAAATAATGTTCAACCATTTTTAGAACGTATTCAAATGAAACAACCACTTTTATATGAAAAAATTAAACATGTTTACATGCATGTTATACCTAAATGGTCAAAAATAAACTGTAAATCTCAAGATTATGAATTTTGTTATTCATTTTCGGCTGTTGAAAGACAATTAGCAACAGTAAGAACATTAAATGGAACAAAATTATACATAATAGCACGTAATATTTATTATAAACATCTGTGTAATAAAGTAAAAACTATGAAATCTTTTTTTGTTAAAACAAGCGTTCTATGGATGTGTGAAACAATCGAATTAGATGATGAGAATGAAATATTAACAGTGCAATGGCTAGAGTTTTTTTGTAACCTATTACACAAGCGTTGTTGTCCACATTATTTTATGCCTATGATAAATATTTTTGACAATTGCTCAGAAGAAGATATGGATAATGCGTTATTAATTCTCCAAAACGATATTAAACCATCAGAGGGTTGTTATACAATAAATGCTGTTTATCCTATAAAAAAAAATATAAATCAAATTAATAATGAATATGTTGAATTGTTCAATGATTGGTATCGTCATGTTCACATTGAGGATATTGTTCGAGCTATAAACGATTGGACACAATTAAAATCGATATGGTTCTCAATAATTGAAAATGATTATCATTTTGAAGAACTTTTACTTTTATTAAACAGTTTTGCATTGTTGGATGATAACGGCAAAAATAACCTCTTAGAATGGAAGCAAAAATTTTTAGATAATAATAATAATACTGATGATCAGTTGACACGTGAATGGGCTGATAGTAATAGATTAACACCAACAACATTTATATTTAGTATTATAGCAACAGCATATACATCGAAATGGATCACAAATATTGTAACAAATTCAGAATTGTTGGAAAATATAAATAAACTTGATTTTACTGTGTTATTAAGAGTTATAAATGTTTTTATTAGCCAATATCAACTGTTTCCTCTCAAAAGCCGTATGTTCAGCTCATGACTTTACTGAAAGTTTTCAGTTCATCTCTGAAAATCACATAGAAAATTATGAGCATGTTTTCATAATACTCTCTGTTCCATCATGTATTTATTATTAGCAGATCTAAAATACACTGATTTCATAAAGCCTAAAACGTCGTTTTTCGAGTATTTTACAACCCAAACGATTGCACGCCCGAACTCCACCACAAGACAAAGCAAAGTTTCGCCTGTGAAACCTATTTCTTGCGTTATTTAAACGAGCTTTGAAGACGCGTTTATTCCATCGTAAATCAAGTTATAGTTGATTCCATTTTTGTTCATTACACTCGCACAAACCTGTTACTATTTCGTTTTTTTTAGCATTTGGACCGAATACGAATATTATCCAACAAGAAATAAGTAATTGGATCCAAACGTTGGCACAATTTCTAGCTGATGCTTCGACTGATGAACAATTAAATTTGAACAATTTTATCTTGCAAGGTACAAACAGTTTAAAAGTAAAATCATCAATAGAATCTGATAACGAACTAGAAGACGCAAACTGCCAGTTATTACATTTTGCAATCGAACAGTCTCTTGCTACTCAAATGGATGTAACTGCAAATCAGATAAACTCAACTTTGGAAGTTATCGATCTTTTTGCAACTGACGCATATTCCTCGCCATATCAGGTTCGTCCATTTAGTAACATATAAGTTTTATAACGATACTCCTTTTTTCAACCGCACAAGGAAAGATATCGCACTAAAAATAATGTAGCACATATTTATCTCAGATTAACCCTTTGTTTACTAGCGTCCCTAATTCAGAACGCTTTTTTTCAGTTTCTTGGTTTCCGTATAACTCGTGACCGCAAACAGGTATCGAGATGCGACGATGCAGTTTTGTCTACTGATCTCTAGTATGTTATTAATTTTGCTTGCAAGTATAAAGTAGCGGCCAAAAGTATTTGTACGATCTTGTTTTAATCATAACACTGTCTTAATGACGATGACTAAAAAGACAGTTACAACGAGTTATCCAAAACTGCATCTGGAGAGGTATATCTCGTCACTGGCGCACAAACTTTTGTATAACGTGGTAGGTTCTATGTGGATTTACCCATTATTTTATCTATGGATATTTTCTGCCTTATTTGTCATTACGAAATCTTCACACGATTAAAACGAACATTAACCGCAGAAGATATAGTAGAATGGACGATCCTTGGTTCCTCACCCTTGCCTCGCTATGCATGTTTTAAGAGCGGGTGCTCATTTTCAATGAATATCTCGAATCACACAATAGTTAACTTTCATACTTTGTGTGAATAATCTAAAGCCATTTTAGAGTATCTGGTGTAATTCTGACGTGAAAATAATATTCCTAAACTGAGTTATGAATTGTTTTGGAAGAGGGTCTTAAACTTCAACAAGTGACCCTCGGTCGTAAAATAGCTGTATGTCAGTAACTATTAAGAGCTAATACTCAAATTCATATCATAGATAGATGAGAGGCAGTGCTGTATTTTGGTAAAAAGGAAAAGCTTTCACTTCTCTTGGATCAGGAGTTATTAGCATTTTAGGGAAAAGAAATGAAACGCTTACATCTCACGAAACATCTAGTAGAAGAGGCCCAAACTTGGTGAGTGATCAGCATTCGGTAACAGCTATGACCACACAAAATTCGAGCAATGATACTCACAGGGTTAAAGTATATTGAAGTTTGTATGCAAATTAGCATGGTTAGTGTCAGTTTCTCGATGATACTAGAAGCGAATGAAATCTCAGAAAATATTAGGAATCTTTCCTTATCGATCACTACAGTATCTTAGGAATTTATCCCAGCTAACTCAATGTTAAATCTTGCGACATATGCAACACAGTGTTTTAACTATGTTTACTCTTACCTGTAGATTTTCACGTTTAAAAGAAACTTGTTTTACTGTAAATTTTTTCTTAGCTTTCGACATATTGCAGAACATCAAAGCATACAAGTGCTGTTGCACCACTGAACTACATAAAACCATTTGAATACTGTGTCGATAATGAAGCCAAGTCATGCTTACAACCAGAAGATGATCGGCAGTATAAAGAAGAAAATTTATCAATATCAGATGTTTCATCAACAACATTTTTTAATTGTGACGAGAAAGAACAGCAATCGATAACTAACGACAACAATCAGTTCAGTCTAACCTGTGGTGCGGTTTGTGAACAAGTGTATTGGAATAGATCAGCTATGCGAATTAAAATTAACGAAAACAATGATTTATTAATATTTGCCAGCAAAAAAGGTAATCAACACTCAGAACTTCTAACAATGTTGCTTTTTTGCTGAAAAGTTCAGCGCGGAAAGATACTAAGAGTGTTTTTTCGGTTTAGCCTACAAACTGCTGCGTTCCCGTAACATCGTCCGAGAAAAGTGGCCGATACATCATATAGTGTGTCGGGCGACGCATCGCGGGATATCGATTGATTAATCTGTTTGAACACCGTTTTAAGTCAATTCTCTTTCATCCTATCGTTAAAACCGTGCGATGTATCTAGTGTAAGGTGATTTCCAACTAGACGCAATTAATGAGAAATCGCTCTGTCGTCAATGATGAGAGACAGTAGTTATCGGTTTTTCCTGTGAAGATCGAGTTGCGCAAAGTTAAGTTCAGCAGATAAAATTCAGAAAATTTAATTGTTACATTTTTATTTTCTAGTTCATGTTTGGGAAACGTCTCGTTTATAGTAAAAAATCTGGAAAACTATTAAATTTAATTTTCCAGATTTTATCTGCTAAGCTCAACTTTGTACAACTTGCTTTTCAGCGATGGTTCTGCAAGGGTCAGTATGGACTTTCGCAGTCCTGTTATATTTTCCTAGACGACAAAATCACGATCGAAATCGATCAAAGCCACATAGACAGACTCAGTTTTTGATGTTGAATACGAACAAAATAGTTTCAGAGGTCAGAGAATGCACATTTGGAGCACCTTACGAAAATCTTGTGAAAAACTGAATTTTCATTTTGAGACTTCCAGAGTTCAGCCACTCTCCGTATGAAGAAAAGGCACTGAAGAGCTGAATCGAAAAACATTGAGCGTATTGGAGTCTAGCATCTGTGGTAAAAGTTTCAGCTCGAACGGACATCCGATGAAATCAGTACGGTACACAATGTGGCCCAGACGAGGTCTGACCTGAGTATAGAGGCCATTTGTTTTAGGACTTCCACTCGAAATGTTTATAACTTTTAAAGAAAACCTTGTGGACAGCTGAAAGACGACTTATTTTGTGGACAACTTCTCTTTCCTCTACAAGACTAAGTGTTTAAAAAGAACTTGCAAGTACTGCATCAAAGCTAAAATATTCGACTACTCTTGGAACTTGAGTTCTCTGATGCATCGACTGAAAGCGTTTATGTCTGGTTTATGGTTTTAAGGTGCCGCTAATTCAAAGTTACGAAACTATTTTATTTTCTCAATATTCATATATAGTTGGATAGAGGAGAGCAAGCTGAATCCGAAAATCACCTTTAAAATCTTTCCAGACCTTTCCCTCACGGTGAAAACCGAAAAATACGGACGGGTGCTAAAATCGAGAAAAAGGTACATTATTCGACTCGGTTTCGGACGCTGACTCCGAATATGATACTTATTGCATAAACGTTGAGTTCTTGCGGACAAAATTGAGAATTGCGGGCACAATTTCGATTTGATTTAGAAAAAATAAAATTTCTCAACAGGAAAGGAAAAAATCAGAAATATGCAGATGTAACTTTGTTCTCCGCTTGAAGGCGGTTCGAATACCGTATCAAACAAGGCTTCAGCTCTTAAGACAAGAGACTTCACGCTTTTTGAGCGGAAGGTCACGTTTTTGAGTTCTCTTGGAAACGAACTTTTCCCCACGGGCTTCGTAATATGTGAAAACTTCAAAAACACATTTGCATATGCAGTTTGCAATGCTGATTCAGAAAAAATGTTCAAAGTTCCGAAATGCAATGAGAAAAAACTATCATCATTCTTCTCGAAGCGTGGTGTTTTCTCGATTTTAGCATCCATCCCGTATTTTTCGGTTTTCGCCGTGGGAGAAAGGTCTGGGAAGGTTTTAAAGGTGATTTTCGGATTCAGCTTGCTCTTCTCTATCCAACCATCTATGAATATTGAGAAAATAAAATAATGTCGTAACTTTGAATTAGTGCCTTAGTAATTATAGATTGGATTACCGACAGATGTGGTATTGAATGGATCGACGGTGAAAACCAACAATGTCGATCGGTTTATAATGAAATGGAACAAATTGTTAAATATTCTAAATTTTCTACGTTTAATACCGAATATTTTAATGAACTAACAAGTCTAAAGAAGTCAGAAAAAAAAATATTTATCGTTATATCTGATATGAATAATGTTAAGAGTATTGTTGATTTAATACATAATTTAAGACAAGTCCATTCAATATATTTATTCTGTTGGTGTTTTACGGACATACAAATATTTCAATCGTTAGCAAAATTATTTCCAAAAATCGTATGTATATTTAACAAAAAAGATACATTATTACGTCAACTTATATCAGATTTCGCTGTCCAACTTCTTGAAATAGGTGATGAATATAAACGAACTAATAAAATTAATTTATCATCCATATTCTATGAGTTTTCAACATATCTTTATACTACTATTGATAAATGTTTAAATGAACGAATGAATACTACTAATTGATGAAACAAAACTCTTCACCTAAATAAGTACATTTTATTTTATTTTATTTTTTCAAATAATTGTCAAAGGGTAACGATAAACATGGCTAAAAGTTCTTTTAATGCTTAGAATAATAAACCATAGATAATAAGTTGAAACTGTATCATGGTCTTGAAGTATGAAAGGTCTCGCCATTGTTTAAGCTATCTTTATTCAATGCTAGTCCTGATCAAGTGGTTATGACTCGAGAGAATCGTTATAATATAGTTAGAGTATGACTGTGCAATAGTTATTTGTATTGATCTTGAATTGTGCAATTGAATTATACGTAGAATAAAATAAACTCTTTTCTTTATTTATTGTTTTTCTTTTGATATTTTAACAAGTATTTGATTCTAAATAGTTTATGCCAGATAATAAGACAAACACCACCTTATACATAGTGAAGTTACTTAGTTTAGTCAAGTAAAAAAATAACTTCACTATGTATAAGGTGGCGTTTGTCTTATTATCTATTTTAAACTTCTTCAACCATTAAAAATGATTCAAAAGTTTATAGTGTTAAACAACGTGTCGTTTTTACCTTTGATTAATACTTTAGATTATAGTACTAAAATCACTATGCAAACCAGTATATTATATATGTTACAGTGAATGTATACATTCCCTGACATTTGTATGGAATGTGTACATTTCCTAGGGAATATTCACATTCCCTGATAGCGTTCAGAGAATTTGAGTATATGACATCGAAATTTCTCTTGGAATATAATAAATTCATGAATTATGTGCTGTTTGAAGTTAGAGTATACTCTAACTTCAAACAGCAGATTTCCTCTATAGAGAAAAATCGTAAACTTCAGTAATCTATTCTCCATTTCAAAATAGAATGGAAAAAAGTATTTTATTATAATAGGTAGATATTCCAATACCTGAAATCGCATGGTTCTAACTCGTTCTGTTAAAAAGTTATTAAAAAAATACTTTTTTCCATTCTATTTTGAAATGGAGAATAGATTACTAAAGTTTACGATTTATCTCTACTCTAACTTCAAACATCACATAATTTATGAATTTATTATATTCCAAGAGAAATTTCGATGTCATATACTCAAATTCTCTGAACGCTATCAGGAATGTATAGATTCCCCAGGGAATGTGTACATTCCCTGTGACATATATACTGGTTTGTGCGGGGTATTCTCGTTTCGTCGACAAATCGGCCACTCCAGAGAATATAGATCAGAGAACATCAGAGGCGGGAGGGGCGGTGTGAGAGTGAGTTGTCGACGAAACAAGAATACTTCGTTTGTGCTACTTTCAAACAAATTATTATGAATTAATTCTGTTTTTGGTCAATATTTTGGTACGATTCAACATGGTGATAATCAATAAAATTCAGAAAGCCAACAATCATTAATAGCAATTCAATAGCAAGGTAATTTCAGAGATCATACTGTCATTATCGCATTCAGTTAAACGTCATTAATTAGTTTATGTCATACTTAACATCTGTTTTTGAGCAAGGTAAGAGATGTGGCATCGCCCATGAATTGAGATTTCCATCGCGATAAATTTTATGCATCTAGACGTGTTGGATTATATATCGAACAATGCAGCTAGATGATCCGATGCTCCAGCCAGAGTATCTGGATAAAACGATTGATCAGCTAAAATATTTTGGTTGAAGCACTGTTACTTAGGCGTCCAATGTGCACATGTTTTCCTACTTTTTAATTCTGTCTGTCTTCTTTTCTTCTCCTTTAAGTAGATCTAGAGTATAGTCATACATAATATTTACATCATTTCATCGCTAGTAGTCAACTTTTTTTCCATTGTCATGTATTCTAGACCTAGTCATGCAACAAATGAACCAGAATAGTCAGCAACAACACCTCCAACAGTCGTTGAACTGCTATACTGATTATTCATGGAAAATTTCTGGATTAAAAAGCAAATTTTTAGTAGCACAATCTCAAGGGCAAATATTTACCTATTCTCCAGTAATTCCTATTTTACCTCTTGATAATAAAATGTGTTTACGTTTATGTTTGCATAAAGATCCTCATCAAACCAATTTATGCGTCTTTTCTCGTTCAATGCCTACCATCACATCCAGATGTCAAGTACAACAAAATGAATCGTTCGAGCAACATATGATTTCTAGTCGTGAGAATGATTTTAACGGGTCTTTTAACCAACGAGAATCCTCTATTAAAGCTGCATTTTGCCTTTATGATCAATCTGGCGGAGAGAATCATATTATTGATTCATTTTGTTTTAATGATAATCTGTCACCTTTTCAGGAATCAACAACTTCGACAAATATTGTAGAATGTATACCAAAAATTTATCCACTACCAGTAATACATGATCATGGAAGTCCATACATTAAAGATGATTCTGTACATATCAAATGTTTATTCTCAGCCTATTCTATTTCTCAATGTAGTAATTACCATATTTTTTTTGTCGGATTACATACAAATGAACATACAAAATATATTAAAGAAAAATATCCAACTCAAATTGAATATTTTGATAAAATTGATGAGGCTATAATATGGATTCATTTAACGAGTAGTAGAGATAAAATTTATTTAATTTTATCGGATCATTATGCCAAAATTACTGTATCACGGATATATAACTTACCCCAATTAAATACAATATTTATTTACAAAACTTCAAATAATGATGATATTATTCTTGATGATCTTAAAAACGAATATCCGAAAATGCGTACGTTCCATCAAGATAATTTAGTAGATATCATAAATTCACTTATTTTAAGAATTGATAACCAATATATTCAAACTACTAATTCTGATGATCAATCAGTCTTGTTAGAGACTCAGTCAATTATCATTAAAGACTCATTAGAGAATTCAATGAGAAAAGGACAACAATATCTGGAAGACGAAGAAACTAATTATGGAGAATCAGAACAAAATGTATTATCGTCTACAGTTAATCAGAATACTTTGGCTAAACCGGTAAGAAAAATAACATGGTAGCCAGGTTCACTGATGTGATATCCGCTAATATTACATCGACTCTGAGGAAGCAACAAGAGGGCAAAACATCACTTTACTTCAAGTGAAATGGAAGTAATTTTGAAGTTTTCATGAAGTGAACTAGTGAAACGCGTATGAGGGGCATCAAAATCAACATGAAAACGCCCTAGCATTGGATGCCGCCTTTATTGATAGATGGCCGTGCAAAAAACTGGTGCTATCTAGTAGCAGGGCGTTTTCGTATTGATTGTGCGTATTAATTCACCCTATACGAAATGAAGTGACTTTCATGTGATGTGAAGTGGTGCTTTTACCTCCACACAGTGAGCAAGTTTGACCAGACATGTGGACATGTGCCATAAAAGTGATATGAAAGCCTCTAAACACTATTTTTATAGGTTTTCGTATGCGCTCTTTCCATTGGTGTAATTTGCAAGTTCAAAGATGTTTTTAGTAGGATTTTCCAGAGAGCTGGTCTTTGGAAAATTCAACTGAAAGTGTCATCGAACTTTATAAATCACACCCTTGGAAAGAGCGCATACGAAAACCTATGCAGTTTGGTGCACTGATTCTAAATGTATCACTAGTTTTTAATGAAAGTGCTTCTGTGGTGAGAAAAATGGCTTTTACCTGAAAAAACAAGATTTTTTGGAAAACCTGTAACTCAGTCCCGAAAAGTTTATGTTAATTTACGCTAACACCATAGGTGTATCGTTAGCAAAAGAGATTTTGCGGAAGTTTCGTCAGATTTGAAACTGTGCTAAACTGTATCGAGCACCGCTCTTTGGAGAACCCTTAGCCTAGAAAGAAGAATTTTCTTTTCAGTTTCGAAGTGTTCAAAGAAAAAAAATGTTTTTTCCATAGATAGAGTGAAATGTCTAGTTTCAAATAGTGTTTGATTTTTATAAATATTCTATTCTATTTGGCTAAAAACTGGTTTTCGATCTTTATCGCTCTGTCTTTCGACAAAACTTCCCTTCTCTGTTTTCTCACTAACTATGGCACTTAGAACAAAATATCGTGTGCCAATTAAATAGAGCGTAAGTTGGCGGATATGACCTGCTGTGGGAATCTTGAAAAAGTTCACTTTCGTTCTTTCGCCTAATGTTCACGTGGTTGCCCGCTGTGTCCCCTGGAGAACCAACACGATTGTGTGGGAATGATACAATCTTAAAACTGATGTTTACTATTGAAAAACGTAGTCCTCTGACTGCTACATATCACGAGATACTGAAGTTTTAATTTTAAAGCAAAGTTGATCAGCCGTATTTTGTTGCAAAGTCAAAACTTGATAGATTTCATCAAATCAAGTTTGCTTAATGGGGATTATCCATTAGAAAAATGATCATCCGCTTTGCTTGATCAAATCTTATATTAGAAATGAATAAATAGTACATTAGGTAATATGAATTCAAATATTATATACATAAAAATGTTCCAATAATATTTTCTATTACTATTTTTCGTAACAGACTATTTTTCGTTCAACCTTTCTTTTCAACCATATTTCGCTTTCCCGGATAGTCTCAATTTAATTTAGCAGTAAAGCTAAAGTTTTGAACGTTGGTGTAACCAGTGAACTGGGACAAGTTGAATTGAATTGAACTTTATTTAACGCACAGATAGAATATCACAAAAAAGTACAAAAGACTTGTGGTATCCGTGGATACTCTGGGATAATTTAAAACTAAAAGTTCGTGGACAAATATCCCGCTTAATATAAGAATCATATACCGAAATCATAAACTATTCTCTTTAAATATTTATCTCGTTTCATTACAGAGCGTTCAAGGCTGAAGGTTAGAAAATCCTAAAGATCAAGCCTTTTCCAAAAAATAGAAAGATTAGAAAACTTTGAAAATATCCACGAATTTCCTGAAGTTTCCTGAACTGTTAAACCGTATTCTTACTTTTAAACAAAATTATGAAAGTTTTCTCTTGCTTTACAGACAATCCAAGCAAATAATATGAAGGACAATAATTCCAGTTCACAACAACGTAAAGTTTATGACGATCTGCAACGAACAAACGAAAAGAGAATGGAGGAAAAGAAAAAGCAAGAAAATGTTGAATCAGAAGATCTCTTTGTGCACACTCACCCAACAGCTACAGCTGCCTCTGATTTACAGGCTGAACTACAATTGTGCTATGAAACCTTAACAATAGTTACTGCGAAAGTGCTAAGATTATTGTCTGAAATAGATCGTCTGAAGAAAGAATCACTGACTCAGCGATGTGTACTACAAGCAAACGTTGAGGAGTATAAACACATAAAAGAATTATTTAATCAATCTAATAATAACCGGAACCAGCTAGCATCTGAACTAGTTACACTAGACCAAGAAAGTACCGCGGTGAAACAGAAACTAGAATCTCTGCAATCAATACTAAATGATGGTTTATTTGTATGGAAAATACGCAATGTGCCCGAAATAATTTCTAACGCACAGTGTCAATGCCAAACAAGTATTGATAGCTCTCCATTTTATTCGTCACCAAATGGGTATAAGATGCGTATAAAACTGTATCCAAATGGCCATGAGAAGACAAAAGGATTTCACATGTCTTTATTTCTTGTGATGATGTCAGGAGAATATGATGCCATCGTACACTGGCCATTTACTTATGAAGTAACGTTTTGTCTATTCGATCAAACGGAGAAGCGCAAACATTTCATAAAATCGTTTCGTGCCGATCCAGGATCTGATAGTTTTCAACGTCCTCAATCAGAAATGAATATTCCAATTGGAATTTTGGAGTTTTTTTCTCTTCCAATTCCAAACGGCAGTGATTACTTTCTAGAGGATACAATGTTTATTGGGGCTTTAGTTGATTTTCAAAACTTGTCAAAAGATATTCGGCCTTACGTTTTCGAAATGGATTTAGGTTTACCAAGCTATGTTCGGCAGCGCATAATCCATGAAGAAGTAACTAAACTGGAAGACAAAGAGCAAAACCAACCGATCTTACCACCTTTGCATCTATACCGACAAGCACAAGAACGCTTTAGTTGCAATTTAGATGATTTTGTAGCCGA